TGATTCAGTGGCAAAGGTAGGATGACGATGTAAGGAGGTCACATCGTCAGAGGTGTGTTTATTATTGTTTCTCAAATTCTTCCAATTAGAAATTCTACAGAAAACTTTTGTAGAAAAAGTGGTAATACAATAGCATACTGAATTGCATTCTTTATGTGGACTTATTTTGTGTGAGAGGGAAATGAAATTAAGTCTAACTTTGTACTCTCGTTTTATTTGTGAATTACTGTCTAGTCCACTATAGGCATATTTGGTTTCAATTTTCATTCTATTTACGTCCACAATAAAGTCCATAATCTACCAAGCAGAAAATCTTGTCTCTTAGCAACCAATAGTATTACGTAATTGGGCGTTAGCCCCGGTCTGGCAAACAGTACTGGTTCGAATCCAGAAAGATCGAAGGAATTTTTCTTTGCGTTTGTTCTTTGTATCAATAATAAGACAAAATGAAATATGTTAAATGCACATTAAAATTAAAATAACAATGCGGAACGGTAACGTAAGCAGGTGAGAGCAAGCTAAAGTACAATCAGATGGCATTATTGTCTTTATTTTTCAAATTGATTGTTGAAACGCGGCTTCTCCGCTTCTTCGTCTTACATTAGTGGTCTTTTGCCATTATTACATTATTTTCAGATTTGTGACGCAATAAATTTATCTTTAGTGCCTCGGCCACGAAAATATCGCTGCGTTTGAAACGTTATTCGATGAGAGCGTCAATTTGAAAGCGTCAAAATATCTTTTGTACTTTTTTGTGGAATTCCCCAAATTTTTTGAATTTCAACGAATTTCAACTCGATTTAGGATTTTGTGGGGATTGGCGCTTTGTGGGGAAAATGTGGGGATTCTAACATTTTATCATTTTGTTTAATCTATCTGTTGCTGATGCATCGACAGTTTGATCGTTACTATTGGCAACACTGTGATGAACTATATCGATGTGTCCAGTCTCCCGCTTAGGCCGATCCCCGGTATGAAGAACAACTAAATCAGCTATTGATAAACAAACCCGAGCAGTTGGTACTTTCACACCACAACTTACCACTTGTCAACTTAAAATATTAAATATAGGTCGAAACTTCTTTTACTACCTTCATTAACCTATCCACAACGCAAGCCGATCTTATACTGCCGTTATAAATTCTTCTCTATTCATAATTAGATAAGCGATGACCGCTTCTGTCGGATCGCGTGGAGCGATTGATAACGCGCATAACGCTCGTGCAAATTCGCTCGTAGCGAGTTCGCGACAAGTTGCAGCGATACTTTGTGGCCGTTCGTATATAAAATCATATATTTCTAATTGACGCTCGATGCTGATGCTTGTATCGTCAAGCGAATTCGCTAGGAGCGTCGCGGCTCGTGGCCCTCGGGTTATAGCGTATGCGCGTCACGTCCGATACGTATTAGTTCCGAATCCGAGAAATGACGGTTCGAAATGTCACAGGTATCATTTTATTAATAAATTTAATAGAAGTAGAGCGCATTGTCAAAGAGTTCGTCCAGTCACCATATATATTTTTACCGCTAAACAGTAAAGTGAGCATTACTGCGGAAAGCGATTCGCGCTCTGTAACCGATTCGTATTCGTTAGAAACACGGTCCGAAATGTCATAGAGATCATTTTATCCCTAGGTGTACAAGCGATATTCGTATGTTCTCGAATTCGAATTGGAGTTAGTGCACAAGCGACGTCCGTAGTGGGTCCGATTTTTTCTAGTTTTGTATAGTCTCGGATTCGTAACTAATACGAATAGTTAGTTATTTTGGATAGTTTTTTACCACTAGCACAAAAAGAGGAAGACAATAAGTTTCAAGCTCTTGTCTATGTCCTGTCATTTATGTAGGTTGTGTAGACCTGAAATTCGTTATATATGTGTGTAGCAACCACAGACGGGCCAGAATGCCTAACGCTATTCCGACATTCAGGCATGTCTTAGTGCAAGCAAAAGTAACAACCATGCCTTGTCAATCAGCATAAGACACACGTACCAAATTAGTATAAATAAGTAGCTCAAACAAAATATTACACAGTATTTTACCAACCCACGACTCGTCTATCATACTCCACCAAACTACCATGGCGAAGTGGTGACAACCAACGCCTTTCACCTGCGCCATGGTAAGCCGGTGACCCCGACGACGAAGAATACCCCGACTGGAATAACACAACCCGACATGAAGAACACAGCCCGCCTAGTACAGGGGACCCCGATATAGCAGTAACTTTCTGCACATTGAGGAGATAACAAACACGGGAGAAAATATGTCGTCTACCCAGTGCAAAGTGTTTTCCAGCCCGCTTGGTAAAAAAGAAAAAGAGAAAATTATAATCGCCCAACTTCTGCTGATAATTGTCATAATCATCGCTATCACTGTTGCTGTTTTCTACACTTTTTTTTTATACATCTACAACACCGCCAACTTCAGTTTCCTCCAAATTAACTAATCGCACCAGAAGCATGGTCGCCGCGCGCCCCGCGTACAGCCGCACAACCGCGCCTGCAAAACCTTTCACCTGGACCAAGGTAAAATGTGCTATAGAAATACGATGACATTACAATAATATGGTGACCTTGATCTAATACTGGAATCAACCCTGCATATGGACTACCCAATTCCTCAACTACAGAAAATAACTTATCGTGTTTGGGCTCATTAGGCTTGGCATCCTTTCCAAGGTGAGGCGTTATTTTACACCGGGTCAATCCCATATCTTTCTACATAAGTTTTGTTCGTAGTGCCTCTCCCTATCAAACTCTTGGTTATGCGGGAATGGCACTATGACCTGTGCGAGCGAACCCGCACAGGGATCATCTAAGTCAGGTCCTAACCCTGGATCAGCTCATTTGCACGGACTTCATCCGGTTCTCTGTAAGGCTGGAGCCTTAGGTGAGCCACGCCGGGTGCACGTACAGCACCCTCCCTATTTTCCAGATAGGTACTGGAGATGTAGGCACGCTCACTTCCCTTCGCGCTCCGCACGACTAACAGTTGCTACCGCTGAGCTGCCGGGACAGTTGCTTCAGCTGTACCAAGCACAAAACCGGTCGTGTATGGAGTACTGCTGCCACCAATGGGATGGCTCTGCTATTTATTTATTTATTTATTTATTTATTTATTTATTTATTAAGTACTACATCATATATATTACAACATTTCAACATTCAACATACGGAATTACATCTGATATATATGACAATTACGGTGTACATAGCATTTATAATAGAAGGGTTAAAGGGTTAAACAACTAATATTAAATTAATTTAAATTAACGTTATCAATACCTACTGCTCGAATTTGAATAATTTTGAAATTTTATTGACAAAAATATTTATCCTGTCGTGGTACACATCTAAGTCCTCGATTTTACTGTTAATCGTATTGTACTCGCTCAAAATCCTAGTCAGAGGGGAATGAAGGCCAAGATTGGTTTTACAAGGGGGGGTATAGAAAATTTTTGTTATTGTGTTTCTAGGATATTTATACGGGACACTCAGAGAAATGCATTCGTGTAAATCACTACTTTGGACCAGTCCATTAATGAGCCTGTGCAGGAAACACAAGTCCAACAAAAACCTTCGATCACGCAAGGTAACCATGTTGAATTTTTGTAAACGCTGTTCATACGGTTGCCTGTGAGAGAATACTGCTTCTGCTACATACCAATTGGCCACCTTGGATCAATCGACAAGCGTGTCAAGAGGCTTATAGGTGACTCGGAATTAGTAGAGGCGAAGCTGCAAAGCCTTGAACACCGCCGTAAAATTGCCTGCTTATCGGTATTCTACAGAATATCACAGAGAGAATTACACGATTTAATTCCGCCTTACCCTTTTCACCACCGGGGACCACCGGGGGACATGACGAAGTATTGGGTTCCACCCCAATGTTGTGGGTATTTTAAAGATTCGCACGAAGCTTTACGCTTCCACATTTATATTATGGCGAACAGCTATGGAATGGAATTTCCTGCCTGCAGACTTATTATTCCATGAACGGTGTAACTTGGGCCTTTTCAAGGCGAGTGTGAATAGGCATGATTTAGGTGTGCATGCTCCATCGTCGACCTTATCGTCACTTTCCACCGGGTGAGATGGAGGTCAAATGTGCGCTTATATTATTTTATAAAAATAAAATATGATCTCGAAGGGTTTTTATCTTACAAAATAATGGTGACTTTATTAACTTGTTGAAGTACATTGTTTTGTATCGGGGGCTACTGAATTTAAGTTTTTTTTAATGCAATTACCCAAGAGGAATTATCTACTTTGACTTGGAACTTCGATATATTCCTACTGAAACTCGTAGAAGCTTAAATGATTGTTGAGAATTTATTTAAATTTCCCACAACTGACGATCAAACGCTGCCAAAGTTTTTCACTTAACGTCTGAACGAAATTTAGTAATGAGGAAAGAGTTTGGTTATGAATTATGATGTTATTATTATATTTGCGACTGAGAAAGTGATAAGGAAAGTGATAGGGTTATCTCAAAAGAACCCGCTGCCTTACCAATTACTACCGCAAAGCGTTGCTATGATCAGGACTGAAGAAGAAGAAGTCAGCACAATGACAGGCGTAAAATAGAGGCAACTTCACACAATACCCACATTGCAATTCTGTGGATTCTTACTATTAACGATGCACATTATGATTCGATTTTTATGAAAATCGATTCAAGTTTATACGATCTAACGATTTTCTGTACCAATTTATTTCGTTGCAATTTTCAAGTGAATCGATTAAATAGAAATGCAAATCGAATCGTCTACATCAGAAAGCAATAAACTTTTGTAATAATATCATTCAATTAAACGCAACACATATCTGGTCCGTCCCAAAAGTATCGAACATTTTTCAGGAAAAATACTTTTATTGAACTTATCGGTACCATACATTAGTACTCTTCAAAGTAACACCCTTCAGCATCGATGCACTTTTGTAGGCGAGTTTTCCATGCCCGGAAGGCCCCCTGGAAGACGTCAACGGGTAGGTCCTTCAGCGCCCTCGTCGTAGCTTGCGCATGTGCAACTCCTCGGTCACGATGCGATGCACGGTCGACTTGGCGATGTTGAGGGTCTGTGCTATCAACCGCACTCCTTGACGACGATCCTCGTTGAGAAGCTGACGCACACGGTCAACGTTCTCGTCGGTCCGCGATGTTGAAGGACGACCAGAGCGGGCTTCGTCGGTCACCTCTTCCCTTCCGTCACGGAACATCTTGTGCCACTTCCTGACCGAGGATTCGGACAAGGCTTTGTCCTTGAAGGCCTGTTTAATCATCTCGTTGGTTTCCACAGTATTTTTGCCGAGTAGAACACAAAATTTCACTGCGTACCTCTGTTCTAACGGATCCGTCATCGCGCTACTTTTAAAAACTTCGACGAGGTGTCGTTTAGAGCTCTACGCGAACGCACGTCCTGCCGCTCCAGGTGCTCGGAGCCAACTGCGACCGGTCGCGCTGTATTGGCTAGATCCCCCCACCACTTTCTGTTGCCAAGCGGAGCGCTTCCCGCCGTTCGGCAACACTCCCAAAAAAAATGTTCGATACTTTTGGGACGGACCCTGTATATAATTATAAATAGTATTTGCCCTCGTTCTTGGGTGTGAACGTGTTTTAACCCCTGACGCTTGCCAATCTCTGCGCGTGGGATGACCACCGCTGTACAACGCGAATGCATAGCGAGATTATACGAATGTGTGCGGCCGTACAGGACACGCGGCGGGCGCGCACACATACAAGTCACGCTGCTACGTTTGTACGGAGTTACCACGCTTATATTATTAAAATATAATAGAATTATTTATTTCAGACCATGATCCATAGTAATGTTAATAATACAGTAAATGTTTCTTACGTACTATGGTTACCACAATACAAAATGACTGAATGCTAGAGAAATGCCACGACTAGACCACTACCTTACACACGTGTAGTTGCACCCAATATTGTTGGTAGAGGTAGTCCAACCTGTTGGCAATAACGGCTAGGATGCTGCCGCGTACTTGTAGTGAGGCAGCCCTCTTGCGAATAATGGCTTGAAAGCCATCTGTGTGTGCCTCCATGAACAGATGCACTCAGTGTCGCGATAGCCCCATTAGCATTATAATACTATGAATATAATGTATGCTGTTGGTACGATAAGAAGGGGAACAGTTCTTCTAACTAGTTCAATACAGCTCTAGCGCTTAATAAATTTCAACTCAAAATAGAGTCTTCATATTTTTTTGAAGTATAACGTTTTACCTCAGCACGTTTCTTTACCAACAAGTCAGAGAAAACTTTACGAACATCTCAGTTTTCCTTTAACAACGTTTACTACGTTGAAAATTTCTTAGTTTTTTATTTAAGGTGTTACAATTTTTATGCCAAATTATTTTTGTGCTTTTTTATTATTCAACAGATATTGTAATAAGTACTTTTGTTTTGGCTAGATCCAGAGTATTCTTAAATGGAGAGCGTGTATGATAGTACTGATGTACTGATGTACATGAGGTGACATATCCTGCCTTCGGAAGAAAGAGAGTCACAAGCCACAAATTCTAAATTCGTATATAAATTGTGTTTAAATATTTTTTTTAGGCTTGTTTGATAAAAAGAATAGTTAAAATATACATTTGATACTTTTTACTTTGTACAAAAAAATATTTATATAATAATTAGTAGCAGTAGAGCTACTTGTGAAAGGGTTCGTCCAGGGAAGTACTGCCACCTTAACTATTTCTACCGCCAAGCAGTAATGTCAGCATTATTGTGTTCCGGTTTTGAAGGGTAAGGTGCTGGTAAAATTACAGGCACATGGGACTTGTCAACTTATGTTTCAGGGCGCAGTGCAATGCTTGTTAGATGTTTGCAATTTAAAACTCTAATTGGCACTGCAAGAACTAAGGACAGGAGTGTCGCTTACCACCAGGCATATGACATTCTCACGTCTCGTCGCTAAGCTCTATAAAAAATCTGATAGTTCAAACCTGAAAATGTATTAAAGTGGTGGTATGCCAACGGGAGAACGGTAGTTTCTCAACTCGGTCGACTGTTCAAATCTTGGTGGCGGCAAATAACTATAACTTTCATTTCTAATTACATTTGGGGAATGTTTTTAAGTTTCACTACTTGGTTAGTTTAATGTAGTTATCGTGTAGAGTAAATAGTTAGTAATATGAGAGTAAGAAGTTATAATGAAATTAAGTTTTAGTCTAGAAATGCGGACGGTAATATGAGTGCTGTTCTTTTAACAAAGAGACAAAAGGAAAAAATGTGAATTTTAACGGACTTCCGTAGTTATCGAAGTATTCTTGTCAGCTCCATGGAAGATCTACTTGGAAGATCCAAAACCATTCAACCATTTCAATGCGCTCACCTCGTGCGGCCGCCGCGCGGTCGAAGAGCGGAGACCGTGTTGCCGCCGCGGAGCGACCGCATGCGTCTAACTGTCATGGCAAAATACGCTCTATTTGTTTAGCTTTCACGTTTTAATTTAATGAGAGTTCTGAGTACGCGGGCTAGCTTGGCTTGAATTTCATCTACTTCGCAAAGATTTGAGGGGCATTGCCACTGCGCCCGTCACTAAGAGACATAAGTTGACAAGTCCCGTGTGCCTGTAATTTTACCAGCACCCTTAACCCTTCGAAACTGGAACATAGTAATGACGCTTACCACCAGGTGCACGACTTGTCCCGGCACTAGGTATTGTAAAAAAACTGTTTTAAGGTGTTGTTCATGACTTATCGTCTCCACGATCTACTGTCCTTAGATAGCTGTATCGATATTTTTAGCGATCGTCGCTAGAGGCACTTCTCAATACACTGGGAATCCAATTCACCTTAGAACATTTTTTTTGCCAGTGGGTCATATGAGTGTTGTAAATTTAGCGTTCACGAGTATATATTTTGGTTCGATAGCCACAATGACCCGTGTTGTAAACATAAGTAAGTCAAATCTTAGGGATCAAAAATGTGAACCAGATCAGAAATTTTAAAGTGTAATTTATTCCGTAACAAAGGCGGGACACTGTTAGACATCCCATTGACGAATCCGTATGTAAATTTATGATAAAATATTCCTACCTCAGAGTTTGCGCGGTTCATCTCCTACGGTATAGACGTAGTTTTAGTAACATATCCCTTAATTCAATTTCTCTCTGATTCCGATTTGAGAAATTGGAGATTTCTCTCAAGTCAGAATAAACAAGAAAGGTAAGATAAATTAGACAATTATACTGCATCTATTGACATCGCCTTACTTTCTTTAACTGCCTCCGTGGCCGAACGGTTACCATGCAGAGACATTTATTTCTCTCGCGACTTTAGGTGTAATTTGTAGTTGTCTGTGTGTCCATGGCGCCCGCGACACAGGGTTTCCTGGTGCGGAGCTATGTTGAGTGTGTACATTATTTTTTAATTTTTATTCTCAAACTCGTATCTTAAACCACAGTAACTGAAATGTAAAAAATGCATTAATAAATAAATAAAATATCTTTACTTTCAGACAACTAAATGGTCCGTAGATTGTTAGTAAACAAAACCTTAATAACTATATTGGTATAATAATAATGAACAGGTAATAATAGACATAATCTCAGTACAGAGTACTAAAAAAACCGACCTCAAAAGTACGTGGAATTACGTCTATTTGCTAAGTTTTATTGAAATATCGCCTAGTTCGCCACTATACAGGACTTGACACTGGAGATAATAAAAATCGGTTCTCCCTACTCAAAGTATATCGAGAGAAAAATGCCTTGAATTGAAGAAATAGCAAAATCAACCATATAAGTAATTGCTCCTAAATTAAAGTTAGGCGGTATTTATAGAAATTAATCTTTATGCGTGAACAGCCACCCTTCTAGGTGGATGACTTTCATCAAAATGAAATGGGACCACTATGGAAGTACCCCCTTTCCAACAAAAAGAGAATCATGAAAATCGGTTCACAAATACCGGAGTTATCGCGTAACATACATACAAAAAAAAACGTACAGTCGAATTGAGAACCTCCTCCTTTTTTGAAGTTAGTTCAAAATACACTACTGTCGGTACAGTCATCGAGGCGCTCGTGTAGCGTGCAGCTCGTATATTTGCATTGTATATACAAATTTTGCAGTCTGATGTCACATAACATTTCCTTCATATTCACACTCTGGCTTTTGCCTATTCATAAAGTAATGATAAGAAATTTAAAATAAATAGAATGTTGTGCCATCTCCTGAATAACCACTCTTTATCAGATACGTGTTTGAGAAAGTAAGGCATCGGCATGACAAGATTTTTTGTTGTTTAATGTTGTTGTTTTCGGTTAGGTTCTTTTTTATGATATCTAATGACGAGACGAACGAATCATGTGCTTGTTGGTAAGCACACTCCTGTCCATGGCTGTTACAGTGTCACTCAGAGCATTAATTAAGTTAACTGCCTCCGTGGCCGAACGGTTACCATGCCGGACTGCCACGCAGAGGTCCCAGGTTCGATTCCCAGGCCGGGAGAAATGTTTGTATGGCTTACATTTATTTCTCTCGTGAGTTTGGGTGTAATTTGTGGTTTTCTATGTGTGTGTCCATGGCACCCGCGGCACAGGGTTTCCCTAGTGTGGGGCTATGTTGAGTGTGTGCGTTATTTATTATTATTATTTATTTATTAAATCGCAAAGGTCTGAGGGACAGTGCCACTGCGCCCGTTACCCTGAGGTAGAAGTCGACAAGACTCGTGTGCCTGTAAATTCACCAGCACGCGGTAACCCTTCAAAACCGAAACACATTACTCATTGGTGACAGAAATAGATAACATGGAAGTAATTTCCTGAATGAACTTTTTCACAAGGAGCTCTCTACAAAAGGTTTACTTGTAGTTATGTCACATCCCGGACACTTCATACAACGATCGAAAATTAGGCGCAATCTGCACACGCGCAAATGTGTCAGTGAAGTGGCAGGGTTACCCATCATTTTTTGTTACAATTATGTTACGTGGTCAGAGCGGCAATACGAAAATTCTAACGCGAATCTGTTATCTTTTAAATTCTATTAATAAAATCCTAATAATTACATATGTTCATTAGGTATTTATATCGATATAATATTATATTATACTGTCCAGACTTATTGTCAGAAATATCATTGAGAGTTCCATCTAAATCTTTAAGAAACAATTCACTTTTGTTTCTACCACCCGCTCGTACTAATTATAGGCAAAATGAGTTTATGTGGCGTGCAAGTAACAATTTTAACATTATGTGTAATTCATTCGATCTGGATCTTTTTAATACCAGTGCGATTTCGGCAAGGAGAGCATCGAGTGGGCAATTCTTTAACTAACAACAACTGCAAGTGTCTTTTTTATATTTTATAAATAAGTTATGTTTTGTT